GTGTTCTGTATTTGAGTATGTTTGATGTGTGTATATGGTGTGTGCTGTGTGTGTGTAGTGTGTGTATGTGGTTTGTGCATGTGTGTCTGTGTGTGTGTTACAGGAGGATCCCTGGGCTTTGGAGAGAGACTCTTCCTCAAAAAGGCAAGCACCAGTGTGTACGTGTATGCACTCACACACACACACACACACACACACACACACGCTGGGGTTACAGACACACGCCACCCAGCGTTTTACGTGTGTGCTGGCGACCTGACTCAGACCCTCGGGTGACAGTCGTCCACGGTATTTTGTGGTGCAGTCAGTCATCTCTGCCGGGAGGGTGAGGGTGCTGGGGGTTCCGCGGCCTTCCTTTAGAATCCGTGCTGTACACCTTAAAGCTGTTACACGGCTGTGTACTCGTCGGGTGCACCTTGTTCACATGGCTGTAGTTTCTGTTTTTTCTAGTGGCTGTTCATGCCTCGCTGCCCAGTTTCACTTTTCGTCTTCTGTCTCCAGTGTGAGTCAGGGTCAAGACTCGTCAGCTCTAGAACAGAGTCGCCCACAGCCGTGACAGTGGAGGAAAGGGCTTCAGAAATCACGGGCAGCAGAGAGCTGGATGTGTAAAATCCATGCAGCGGAGCGTGCCCGGGACACTGTCATTTGCCGCGGTGTCCCTGGCAGAGTCCTCAGCACGCGGTGGACGGTCCTGGGGACCTGCCAGCGTGAATCCGTGCGTCCCTCCAGCCTGCGCTGGCTGCTGGCCGTCGGCAGAGGGGGTCCGGGTGGCTAGCCCCGCCGGGCAGCGTCCTCGGCCCCGGGGATGCAGGCTCTGTGGTTAGAGCAGCAAGGATGAGCCAGCCCGTGCGTGCTGGGGAGACAAAGCCCGGTGCGCGCAGGGAAACGGACGTGTGGGCTCGTAACTGCAAGATAAAGCCAACCGTGGGAAGCATGAAGTGTCATGGGGGCTTGTACTGCCTTGTCCAGTTTGTTATGAAGAATTTTATATGTCACGGATCAAGTCCGCCCCTGTTATCAGTGCTAACGAATTCTCACCCCCTGTCCCAGCACCTATTCCTGTGACAGATATCCTGACAAAAGCAGCTCAGGGGAGGGGAGGGGTGGATCCGGCCTACCCTCCAGGTTACAGTCCACTACTTTGGGGAAGTCAAGGCAGGAGCTCAAAGCATGGCGTCCACAGCCAAGCACGGAGAGCAGTACCCAGGCCGCTGCTTGTCTGCGCATGCTCAGCCGGCTCCCTGCTTCCTGCATCATCCAAGGCCCAGCCGGTGACACAGCACCCACAATCAGGATGCAAGTGTCAATAATCAAGAGAAGACCCTACCGGCATGTCCACAGGCCAACGAACCTGGAAGATTCCTCAGCTGAAAATGTCTTCTCGGTAATTCCAGGTCACAGCAAACTAACCGTCACGCTAATTACTATTCACACTGTGACATGCCAATCTTGTTCCGTGTGCATTATCTCTTTTCTATCGATCACAGTCCCTACCCATTCTACCCTGAGCTAGTGATGAGGTTCCTCCAGGGGGCCATATCCTTTATGTAAACACACAAACTCGTGAGCGCGTTTGCTGGTTAGATCCCTCCACAGACTTTGCCTTACTCCTTTATCCCCAGAAATAAATAAGGATTGGGATGATTTCTGATACTTCATCTTTTCATTTTGCAAAGCCGAGGCCCAAATGAGTGAGTGCACGGCAGCTTTCCAAGTCCAATGTCAGGTCTCAGTAGAGTCAGTTCTCCGAACAGCTGCAGGGTCAGCAGCTCTGACCGGCAAGACCCTGGAGGCCCTCTGCTCTTGCTTCCTGCCGACCTGCAGCTCTCCAAGTGGGAACTGAGCAGAGCATTGTTGTGGTCTCCAGGCTAACGTGCACACCAACTGCTCTATGGAGGGGAAAGCAGTCACTCTGTATTTATTAAACTGAAGTCCCTGGGAAGGATCCTGGGGAGAAGAAAAGAGCTCTAGGTTCAGAGAGAGACCCTGTCTCAAAAAAAAAAAAAAAAAAAAACAGCGGAGAGTGATTGAGGAAGACCCCTGTTTGTTGCTGTGAAGAAACACCATGACCGCAGCGATTCTTATAAAGAAAGACATTTAACTGAGGCTGGCTTACAGTGCAGAGGTTTAGTCTGTTATCGTCACGGTGCGAAGCATGGTGGCACACAGGCAGACTTGGTGCTGAGGAAGTAGCTGAGAGTTCTAATGACACTGGGCCTGGCTTGAGCATCTGGAACCTCAAAGCCCGCCCCCAGTGACATGCTTCTTCCAGCAAGACCATGCCCACTCCAGCGAGGCCACGCCCACTCCAGCGAGGCCACACCTTCTAGTAGTGCCATTCCCTATGAGCCCGTTTTCACCCAAACCACAACACCTGACATCCGTGTCTGGCCTCCTCACGTGTGTGCACATGCACTACACCAAGATTAATTGAAATTGAAATAACCCAAACCGTTTATCGTTCTAATAAAGATCTCTGTGGCCAATTTAACCTCATTCTGATGGTCATTACAAAACTCAGCCTCTTTCCAAAACAAGAGAATGTGATAGTTCAGTTCAAAACTGAATGAGCTCGCAGGCTTCAGTGCGTCATCCTGAGCCACGGGCCCACACTCCTTCTGCAAAACTGTGTTTTACATCTGGTGTTTGATTTGCCACACAGTCTAACAGAAAAATAACTTTATCTATTTTTTCCCAATTAAAAGAAGTAATGTTACAATCCATAACTCCTCCAGCTCTGCTTTGGTAAATTAATGCCTATCTATTGTTTTTAAATCACAAAGTGAACATGGCTATAGAAATGTAAAATGGTACTATTTCATTTTAATCTATTTAATTTTCCATTCTTGAATTACATAATGAGGTTAAAACACAGAATAGAATTAATAGAATGAGTGTTTAATTAAGCAGTAATGAGTTTCTAAATGGATGCTTGAAGAAACTGGCTTCACAGATATGCAAGAATCAGATAATGGTCGTAACAAAGAGTATAATAACTGTGCTGAATGTTTTTTATATTTAAAGATTTTTATTTTTTCAGAATCCTCGCAAGAGTATTTGAACATAACCTAGTTTCTTGATTTGCTTTCGGGCGAATCTAAGTGCCTTTCCCTAGCTCCTAACACCTCACACGATCTACCCACAGTGCTCTGCGGTCCATCCTAAAGCGATTCTCACTGGAGCTCCCGTGTTCCGCCCACACTCTCCTTCCTTCTGAAAACGTTCTGGCCTCCTTAGCCTCTCTGGTGGCCTGGCCTTTGCCCCTGCTCTTCCAGGTGCCAGAAATGGATGCTTGGGCTCCTTTTACCTCATTATGGGCTTCACTTATTTCGCTGTCAGGGAATTCTTCCATGATGAGCTTCCTCAAACTGGGTCGGGTGCCTTCTCCTACCAGCTCACTGCTGCAGACTCTCCTAGAACAGTGTGGCTTCTCTTTGAGCAGTGAACATCTTTTTATAGTTATGTATCTCTTCTCTTCTGTTTCTCTTCTTCTGTTTTCTTCTTCTCTTTCTCTTTCTGGTCTATAAATCCACAATAAAATTCACTATGTCTACTTTGCTTACTAGTCTCTAAATGGCTGGTTGGAGAATGGTGGAGGATGAATTGTTGAATGAAAGATAAATAAAAAGGACAGATGGATGTATGGATTAATGAGTAGTTGGAGAAATGGACACTTGAATTCCTGAATATGTAGGTGGTGAATGGATAGAGGCTAAGTAGTTGGACAAAGGATGGGTGAAAAATGAATGGGAGGACAGATGATCTATAGGATGGATGGGTGGATGGATGGATGGATGGATGGTGGACAGATGAACATACGGAGAGATAGGAAGATGATGGTAAATGTATCTATCTCTAAGGTCCACAGCACACACTCATGAGAATATCTAGGATACCTCTACCTTCACATTCCACATGGATTCTTTACCCGCACATTAACATGAGTGCAACAGGTATAAGATCTCACAGTTGTAAAAGAAGTTACACAGTCTTGATTCACATACCTGTGACCTATATATTGGCCTTATCAGTTAATGAACTCATTGGTCCAGATCTTCAAACCCAACCATATGCTACTCACTATATTACTTTCTGAGCATCAGGTCTTGTTCTTCCACCAGCCACCACTGGATGTTAGTGGTAGGCCCTGAAATGGGGAGGAAGCTTTCAGAATCAAGGAAATTTTTAATTCATTTTTCATACCATAAAATATTATTCTTAAAGGCCATGAAAATTATGGAGAGCCCAATGAAGGCAAAAATTTAAGAATCAGACAATAGACTTCCTAGAGTTTGTTATTCAGTGTTCTCTTTTTTTCTCTCTCTTTTTTCTCTCTCTCATAATTTATTCTTCTCTCATACAAACCGCAGCTTCCCTTCCTTCCATTTCTCCCAGATCCCCACTTCCCCTTCTCAAGATCCACTCCTCCATTTCTCTTCAAAAAAGAGCAGGCCACCCAGGGATATCAACCAGACACAGTGTAACAAGATGTGATAAGACTAGGCACAAACCCTCATATCAAGGCTGGATGAGGCAACCCAGTAGGAGGGAAAGGGTCCTAAGAGAAGGCAAAAGAGTCAGAGACACTCTTACTCCCACTCTTAGAAGTCCCACAAAATTCTCAAGCTAAACAACTACAGCATGTATGCAGAAGGCCTAGCTCAGACTCATGCAGGTTCTGTGGTTGCCACTTCCATCTCTATGAACCCTTGTGAGCCCTGATTCTGTGGGCTGTGTTCTTCTGCTATGTTAACCTGGTGTCCTACGTCTCAGGCTCCTACAATCTTTCCTCCCTCTCTTCCATGAGGTTCCCAAAGCTCTGCCTAATGTTTGAGTGTGGGTTCCTATCAGTTGCTGGATGAGGCCTCTCTGATGATGACTGGGCAAGGTAATGATCTAGGAGTATAGCAGAATACCCTTAGGAATCATTTTGTTGGCTTTTTTTTTTTTTTTTAATCAATCCTGTCTGGTTCTATCCTAAGTCTCTGAGCCATCTGGCTTCAGGTTCCTGGACATGCAGGCAGTGTTGGCATGGGTTGCCTCTCGTGGCTTGGGCCTCAAGTTAGGCCACTTGGTTAGCCACTCCCACAAGCCCTGAGCCACCCTTGCCTCAGGACAGGTGTGGATCAAAAGTTTTACGGCTGTGTTAGTGTCCCATTCTCACCACTGGGAGCCTTGCCTAGTTACAGAAGATGGCCAGTTCAGCCTCTGTATCCTCCATTACTAGGAATTACTCTCTGGGTATCACTAGGGTTACCCTCATAGGGTCCAGAAGGTTTCCATTGCACTAGGTTTCCACACTGACCCTGAATGGCCCCCTATGCCAGTCATCTCTCCCATCCTCCCATCTCTCACTTCCCTCCATCCCTCCCTTCTCCACCTTATTCCCCCTGTTCCCATGCCCTCCTACTGCCATGAAAAACCTATTCTATTTCTCTTCCCCAGCGAGAGCCGTGAGTTCTCCCCTTGAGCACTCCTTGAAACTTGTTACTCTTTGGGTCTGTGGATTGTAGTGCAATTGTCCTTTACTGAACAGCCAGTATCCACTTATAAATGAATACATATCATGTTTATCTTTCTGGATCTGGGTTGCCTTGCTCGGGATGATTCTTTCTAGTTCCATCCATTTGTCTGCAGATTTGGAGCAGAACTCCTAGCATGGGTATATATCATATATACCCATAATATATATATATATATATATATATATTACACATTAAAAGAGTTAACAGATTAGATATGGTCCAGGTGGCCCAACAATGGCTGTCTCCCTGCAGCAGGTGAAGAATCTGGTTGTTCAGTCTACGAGGCTGGATGTCTCAGCAGTCCCAGTCTGGCACTGCAGTCATGGAGGAGTCCCAGAGAGCTGATCCTCAGTCTACATTGCAATCCCAAAGAAGTTGGTCCTGATACCTAAGAAGGAATGCCTCAGCAACAGGATAGAGGAACTTGCTAGCCAGAGTGAGGGTGAGCAGACAGAAAGCAGTTCTGTCTGCTCCTTCCTGTTCTTTTAGGTCAGCCACCACCAGAAGGTGTGGCCCAGTTTTAGGCTGTCTTCCTGCTTCAAGTAATCCAATTAAGAAAATCCCTCACAGGCATAAGTTTTTCTTGATCCCAGAGGTAGTCAAGTTGCAAGCAGAACTAGCCATCACATGGAGTCCTCAAAGGTCATCGAGAAATGAAAGAGATCAGTCCAACTCTGCCTTCCAGAATATTCAGGCAAGCGGAACATCACGTGTCAGCCAATGGCTCCACCATTCAGCCTCTCTCCTGTGAGGTTTACCCTTCTGCATTCTCTCCCAGCCCTCACTTCTGCTCCCCACTTCCTGTATGTAAGACCATTCATTTATTTGACAAGTGGCTCCCAAGTTCCTCCCTTGCCCTGAACACCATGTGAGGAGCTCGAACCAAAGCCTACAGCCACCTCAAATCACAATTTGTATATGCTTTGACCTTGACCATACGACACTCAACAGGACGTTGGTTGTCTCAATTATGTGTTAGTCGTAACATCCTCCCCATCTAACTTGGATGCTTTGGCTATAGCACAGCCCAGGCCACAATTATCTACTCATTTTCCTAAGGAACAGGTATCACAAGAAGGACAAGGAGGGACAAGGTTCCAGTGTCCTGGCTCTAGATATACCAAAGGTCTAACCTGAGTGATGGATCCTGGGTGGGCTCAGCAGTAGACTGATTTAATGCAGAGCTTATTAAAAACCAAGAGACTAGGGTCTAGCCCTTGATTCACTGTAGGACATGGGGCAGGATCCTTTCTTTACTTTCTTCTCTACCTTCATCTTCATCTGCAATCTGTGGGGATTTGGAAGCCCTTGTGTCACCAAGGCCCACCCTGAACACAGGGGAGACAGAAATTGTTTATCACAGCACTAGACCCCACTGAGTGCAAAGGTACTGAGAGCCCCTCAGAACTAAGTCCAGCTGCCTCCTCCATCCAAAAGGGCCACCTAGACTTGAACCGATCATGTCTCTCAGCCCAGTCTGTGCATTAGAAATATCTGGGCTTCATTTTAGGTCTTTGGTCTTGTCTGAACCAACTGAATGGGCATTGGACCCAGGAATTATCATCAAACCTCATAGGAAACTCTACTGTGTAGGTAGGTCTTGGAGCCACAAACCTGGTTTCCAGCTCAGAAATCCTGTATGTTGCTTTTAATTTTGTTTTCTGGGTTTTGTTTGGTTTAGTTTGGTTTGTTGTTTTTGTTTTGTTTTGTTTTTTGCTTTAGTCTTTATTTTTCTTTGTGTGTCTGCTTTTGAGAATGGAAAGACAAAAGATAGTGGCAAATTTTGCATAAGCAGGAATCAGAGGAATGGGGTCAAAATAGTTGCTGCTAGAGCCATTTCTATGTGGCAGCAGACACCCCCCCCCATGGTCCTCCTCCCAGAGTTAAGTTCCATCCTAATGCACATCCTCAGAATCTTGCCCAGGTTTGCTCAGATGCTGTAGACTAATTAGTTTTCATCCCCACTCCATCCCCCCCAAACCAAGCCTCAATATGGAGGCTTGTGATTAATGATTTAAAAGTCAATGAATCAGTGGCTGTTTGCAAAACCTCATTTCTCAAATTACTCCTCTTTGAACACAAGGCCTTTTTGACATCATCTTACCGTGCCTGGATTCTCACTGCTACTAATTGAAATTCCTAGATATTTCCTCATCTTGTCAGCTCCTTGGTCATGCTCGTTTATGAAATATTTGCAAAGAGATTACTGTTCACCTGAGTGTGTCAGAGGTAAACACCAGAACAATACTTCACGCCTCCCGCTCAAAGGAAATGTGCTCGTGATAGCTCATGAGATTCTCTGTCGGTGGGAAAGCTCATTTTTCATAGATTGATTGATTCCCACCACACCCACATGCAACAAGTATTTGAGATGTAGTACAATTAAAACCAAGGCTCCCAGCTCAAAACAGCTATGTTTCTTAGCAAATAGTCTTTTAGCCTTGAGGACTATGGGAGGGGAGCTAGGCAGGATGGGATGGATTCTCCTCATTAGGGCAGAAGGCAGAGTGTGGCAGAGCAGGGTGGAAGGCAAACATTGTGAGTCCAGTCCCAGACCCTCCACTAAGTCCCATCCTCTGTCAGTCTAGTCATCTTGAGTTCAAGGTGGACAAAGCTACAAGAACAACGCACACAGGGCTGAAGCGATAGCTCACTCAGTAAGGCACTGTGGCCCAAGCAGGGATCCTGAATTGGATCCTTATAACTCTCATTTTTAAAAAGCCAGACATGCGCTTATAATCCCGGCAGTGGGGAAGCTGAGACAAGAGGACCTCTCAGCTTCTCTGAGCTGCCAGTCTAGCCTAATCGGTGAGAGGCAAATCAATGAGAGACTGTGCTTCAAAGGCCCTGAGGGTTGTTCTCTTTCCGACACACACACACATGCACCTATAGGCTCCTGTGCATATACACACACACACTAAACTTCAATTCATGCAAACAGCACATACAATGGCTCACACTCCACAGGAGCTGACTTCTTCTTCAACAGTGATTCAGAAAAAAGTGCTCCTAGATCCTGGCTGCCCCCGCCATGAGCGACTGGAGACCCAAACTGCTTGATCCTGTGACTCTACCCTCCCCTGGGATCTCCTGACCGTGTGCATTCAAGTAGACAGGGAAGACAGAACAGGAGACAGAACATAGCCTTTCTCTCAACCCTCTTCCTTAACTGGGCAGCCTCCTTTCCCTGTGTTCTGCACGAGCTAAGTTTGTCCCCCTCTCCTGAGCTCAGGGAAAGCTGGTCTGTGGAATGCATCCTCTTCCTGGCCATGCTCCCTGTATTATTTATGACTAAATGAGATGATATGTGTAGCATCCTTCATGTAGTGCACACAGCAAGGGCTCTGTTATGGGTGTCTGCTAGATGCATTTCAGTACACTGACTGTCACCACCTGCTCTGTTTGCAGTTCCAAGCCACGGTGGAGGAAGGAGCCGTGGGAGTTATTGTCAATTTGACAGTGGAAGACAAAGACGACCCCACGACAGGTGCGTGGAGGGCTGCATACACCATCATCAACGGAAATCCGGGGCAGAGCTTTGAAATTCACACCAACCCACAGACCAACGAAGGCATGCTCTCTGTGGTCAAGGTAAGGCTGCCCCTGGGGACATCTGTGGCCTCCCATGAGCACTGAGGGCCCCATGAGAGGGACACAGAATCACAGAATTGAGAAAGTTACAGATAAATTCTACTCTTTTTCCTGGAAGCCCAGAGAGGAAAATTGGGGACTTAGAGGCTTCCCTGCCTTGCACATTCTTCCATGGTACATTCACAGTGTTTGCTCCTAAGGCAGGGAGGGACAATGACAGAGGGCAGAGCAGGAACCTTGATCTCAAATCCCTGCTTGACCAGGCACCTGCCCACATTTTCTGTGCCTCCGTTTACTTATCTATAAGAAGCCACTGCTGATGTACCATGTACTTTGGGGTGGCTGTCACAGTCCCTTCTGCTTGCTGTGACAAAGGGTCATGTTCTGGGTGGCTGTCTTAGTTTCTTTCTGAGGCTGTTATAAGAAAGGCTCTGACAAAAGCCATTTAAGAGAAAAGGGGCTTAACTTTGGCGTAGAGTTCAAGGTCGTAGTCCATCATTGATGGAGGAGGCACGTCGCAGGGGCTTCAGACAGCTAATCATACTGCATCTGTGCTGAGGAAGCAGCACTCAAAGAATAAATGCGGCTCAGCCCGCTTTCTCTAGTTTGCAGTCTGGATCCCCTGCCTTGGGAATGGTCCCACCCACAATTAAGACATCGTCCCAGGTCAAATAGCACAATTAAAGTTATCCCCCACAGGTGTGCCCAGAGTCCCACCTCTCGAGTGATTCTTGATTCTGTCAAGTTGACAGTTCACACGGGTGGTCGTGGTGGCTGATGAGAATTGCGCATTTGTTATTGAAGGTCAAGGTGAAGGGTGAGAGTCGAGTCAGCCTCTGCATAGATGATACCTCCTTACTCCATCCCTATGCCTTGAAGGGAGAGACAGACCCCCCCCACACACACACCCAATTCACAGACATTCAATCTCATGACTAGGCTCCCTCCTAATGCTCCCCCTGGCTAACACCTGAACAGGGGACCATGTCCAGCCCGTTGCACTGTCAGGACTTCATGAACAAATATGTAAAATGCTTGTGATGGTAACAGCTACTTCCAGTCTGTTATCAGTTTGGTATTGTGGCCACCACAGCACGTGAGCACATATTTTGTGGCTAAGGGTGAGTGTGAATTGTTTGTTAGAAGTCCAACAAGGGCCTCACTGAGGGAAACTGAAGGTGTGATCAGGACTGGCAAATCCTGGGGGCTCCAATGGAGATTCCGTCTCGCCTCCTGTGGCCCGAGCCTCATGGCCCCTTCCAATATCTTCAAAGCATATGCAAGAGCTCTGTTGCTGCTCCTTGATGTCCTTCATCCCATCCACCACACTCTGCCTACTCTCTCTTTCACGGTGTCTTGTGATCCCATCAGGTCCACTGAATGAGCCAAGATAATCCCTCATCTAGGGCCCTCCCGTTTAACCACAACTACAAAGTCTTTTCTGCCTTAGAGTCTTAGGCCTGAGAACTATGGAAGCATTATCCTGCCTACCACAGAGTCTGTGCTAGTCTGCCTTTTGTCACTGGTGAAACACTAGCCAGAAAGAGCTTGGGGGAGAAAAGGGCTTATGGCGGCTCACACCTCCAAGTCACAGTCCATCACTGACAGAAGTCAGGGCTCTGTCTCTCTGTTTCTGTGTACGTGTCTGTGTGTCCCTTTCCTTCTCTCCCTACCTCCCTCCCTCTGTCCCTGCATTTGTCTCCTATCCTTCTGCACACTGCCTAGGAATAGTTCAACCCTCAGTGGGCTGGACCCTCCTGCTTCCGTTAAGTTAAGACGGTGCCCCACAGTTTGGCCTCCATCTACTCCAGAGAGCTGTTCCTCAGAGGTTCCTTCTTCCCTGGAGACTCTACATTGTGGAAAACAGACAATGAAAGTGAACCAGGACAGAACCCTGTCAGCAACTGATCAGTACCAAGGCCATTGAACATGGCAGAGGACAGAGTCTGGGTTCCTGCCCTTCCCCACCTCTGGGTCATCCCTGTTTTTCCTCTGTGATAGCTGTAAGGAACCTGTCAGCAGGCAACCAAAGCTGCTGCTTTCAAAAGGGTGAGGGCATAAGATAACATGGCCCTGGCCATCTCTGAAGCTAGTCCTGCAGAGGATTCTGGGTAACTTTCCAGCCCCGCAGCTTCATGGGAAAACTTGAGTAGATACTTTTCTCTATCATGCATCCTGAGGCAGGGCTTGATGGCCCCTAACATGTGTTTGTCAAGACTCCAAGAAAATAAACACCAGACCAGAAGCCACTTAGAGGAGGAAAGGGTTTATTTCATCTTATGGGTTACATCTCTCTTTTTCTTTCCAATTTTTTTGAACTTTTTATTGATTTGTTGTGAGTTTTATATCATGCACCAAATCCTACTTATCTCCTGGTCCCTTCATATCCACCGTCCACCCTTGCAGTCTCATTGCACCCCTCCACCTCCCATAAAAGAAAATTTAAAAATGTTAAAAACAAAACAAAACAAAAATGTCATCATAGAAGCTATAGTGTGTCACAGTGTGTCCCACGGGATATTCTTTTGACCAAACATCTTTACTTGCACACGATTATTGCAATGAGTTGGTGTGATTCTTAGGCCTCTGGCTTCTGCTATTCTATCAATACTGAACCCTCACCAGGACTCCTGTCAGACATCCTTACAGCTCACATCTTAGAGGATCTTCATCTGCCCCCTGACTCTTCTTTTCTAGAATGCACCACAGGAAATCCCATAGCCCTAAATCCTCACCTCACAATCTGCTTCTGGGATCCCAACCCAAGCCACATCATACACATGAAAGCACATGTCCACACCCCTCTCTCTAATTTGTACATGCTCTCAACATGTACAACAAGCCAGAGGTCTCTGTCTCCTGAAGTACCCCAGTTGGGTTAAGTAACTAATTCCCAACTTGGCTCCCTGGTGCTTGTCTGAAGTTAATAGGGTTGCTGATTGAGGGTATCACTTGACTGCTCATTTTTTATTATTAGAATTGAAGGAAAGAGGACACAACAGTAGTTATCCTTCAGGTTAATGGGATAGGAACAAAACAGGACAGGGCAGTCAGCGGCAGCCAGAGTGTGGGGTCTGTTAAGCTTTCCAGCCCCAACGGTGGTGACTTCAGGAAGCCAGTGCCTATGCTGTTGAGTGTGTCTCGCTGTTTTCTGAGCACCTCTCTCTCTCAATCCTTGTGCTTAAGCATGAAATATATTTATTAAACCCCCATTCTACTCCACAAAATTAAAACAAAAAAGCTAGTGCTCACATTAGCAGAAATTGTGGATGAAGGCAGGATGGTATTTATAAGCAGAAGAGTGTGTGTTTGTGTCTCTGTGTTTGCCTTTGTTTTTGTTTATGTATCTCTGTCTGCTTGTGTGTCTGTGTCTGTCCTCATATGTGTCTGGATATCTGTGGGATGCTTAGCAATGTGCACATTTCATCACAATTATTATTAAAAGATGCTATAATTTTTCAGAATTCTATGACTCATTCTGCCAGATTCCATTCTGGTGCCGATACCTACCTAGCTCTTTCTCCAGCTTGAAGGCCTGATCCTTGGTCCCTGATGCCCTCTTCTCCTATCCTCTACAACCTGCATATCTTTTGTTCACCGTCTCAGTGGCCTGCAAGGCACACCCTCCACTTCCTCCTCCCAACAAGGGCGCTTACTGCCTGGATCTGAGAACTTTGCTACTTGCTTGTCCAGAGAACCACTGTGTTTCGAAGTTTATGCCTAATTGTCTCCCTATGGATCTTAGTAGCAAGGGTCGCTCCCAGGAATGTGACTCCCAGTGCTCCATGGTTTCTGTGGTTGAGAACGAATGTGACATTTGACAGGCCGGAGTGCCACCTTAACTCTGTTTACAATGGGGTTTCCTCTGTGCTGTCTGATATAGCCGAGGGCACATGGACCATCTGCCCCTTTGAAAAACCTCCTGGAGGGATCTTCACCAGGACTGCCCACCGACACTGGGACAGGACAGCATCATTGTGTGGGACTGACCTGGGTGCGGCCCGTATGTCCAGTAAGGCTATAGAGCCCCGAGTCAGGATGACGATTGAAACACTCCTCCACGGTGAAGGTCCAGCACCTTCACCCCGTGTGCCTCAGCCCTAACTCTTCTTCTGTCACCCTCTAGCAGAATGGTCCCTGAGACCAAAAGACTCTGACAGTGTCACAGACAGCCAAGTTCAGGCCTCACAGCAAGTACATTGGCAGCTATGAGAGTGGAGCCCTGGTCTGCCTGCTCTACCTGTAGAGCAGAATAACTAAAATGGGGTGATCTTGTGCTCTGGACCCAGGCCTTAAGGTCTCTCTTTCATTCTACCCCCAGGGATGCTGGAGTCATAAGTTATGGGTTACAATCTGGAAACCTTAGTTGGCAACTAAGGCTTGAGTCAGGGGTTACCATTTATTAACTTTTCAGTCCAGGGTTGCACCTGACTTTGTGTTTGCTTGTGTCCTATTCCCTATCTGTTTCTTTGCCTGCTTAAGAACGGCCTTTAGCCCGGGCTGGCTTTGTACTTATTAGGTAGCCAGTGACTTTTGCTATAGTTTCATTTCTGTTGCTATGATATATATATATCACATAAAATAGCAAATCAGAGGAGGAAAGGGGTTTGTTTGGCTTATAATTCCAAGTTACAGTCTGTGATTTCGAGGAAGTCAAGGCAGGGACTTAAAATGTCGCATCCTCAGTCAAGAGAGTGTGCTGCTTACTTTCTCTCAGCCTGCCTGCTTCACCGTACACAGTCCAGGTCCCAGCCCCAAAACTCAAGCTTCCCATGTTCAGGCTGGAGTGTTCTCACCTCAGTTAACGATCAAGACAATGTCCCACAGGCTAATCTGGTCTATAATTCCAAATTAAGAATCTCTTCCCAGTGGATTCTAGATTGGGTCACATGGACATGAAATTGTGATCCTCCTGCTTCTGCAGAGCATTGGGAGTACATGCACCAACATGCCTGGTCTTATGGTGTGCTGGGGATGGAACCCAGGGCTTCGTGAAAGCTATCCAAGCCCCTACCACCTGAGTCACATCCCCAGGCCTTATATTCTTTTTCCTAAAGACCCCTGAAATGGCACAAGACTTAAACCATGAAGCCCACATCTGTCCCTAGGTGCTCACAGCTGCTCATGCAATGTGAAAGGGACTGCGTGCAAAGTAGACAGCCATCAGGGTATGTGCCTTTCTAATGCCCTTCTGTCTGCTCGACAGCCCCTGGACTATGAGATCTCCGCCTTCCACACCCTGCTGATCAAAGTGGAAAACGAGGACCCGCTGGTGCCTGACGTCTCCTATGGCCCCAGCTCCACCGCAACTGTCCACATCACAGTCCTGGATGTCAATGAGGGCCCAGTCTTCTATCCGGACCCCATGATGGTGACCAAGTGGGAGAATATCTCTGTGGGCAGCGTGCTGCTGACAGTGAATGCAACAGACCCGGACTCCCTGCAGCATCAGACCATCAGGTGGGTGAGCAGCTTCCACGGATGGAAGCATACAGGAAACCACTTCCTCTTTGGCTGCCAAAGCTGGTTGATTTGGTTGAGGTTTGCTGGTAGTTGGTTGCCTGTTGCAAGATGCTGTCAAGTTAACCATACTGTCCATCTAGATGTGCAGGAGGAAAAAGACGTTTGTACTTGATACAGCTACAGGCTCTCAGTAAGAGGACAATATCTGTCTCCCTGATTCCAAGTCGGGAAAGGACTGGCTTCCAGTCTATGTTCCCAAATGGCCTAGCCTAATCTGGAGGGTCATAAAGAAGAGCCATGCTGTGTGAGCTTCTGCATCTCTTGACAACTCAGCTTTCTGAACAAGGTGTTGGTTGGTCCCATTTGCAGATGGAGGTATTGTGAGGTCAGGGATGGGAAGGCTACTCAGTAAGAACTGTTGTATTCCTGGCACTCACATAGCAGTTGCGGCAGAGCACACCTGGAATCTCAGCACTGGGGAGGCAGAGACAGGGAGATCCCTGGAGCTTGCTGTCTAGCCAGTCTAGCTGAATTGGTGAGCCCCAGGTTCCATTAGAAACCCTGTCTGGAAACATAAGGTAGATGCCAGGTATCCTAGTGTGCTTTCTATCACCATAACCGAATAATAATAAACACCCACGCCATAACCAAAAGCAGTTTGGAGAGGGATAGCTTACATGATCCAGTCATGTTTAATCATTGTGGGAAGTCAGAGCAGGGACTCAAGCTTCGGCAGAGGCGAGAACCACGGAGGAGTGCTGCTTACTGGCTTGTTCCGCATGGCTTCCCCTATTGCTTTCTTATACGGCCTAGGACTGCCTGCCCACAGTTGGGTGGGCTCTCAACCATCAATCATTAACCAAGAAATGCCCCCATGGACATGCCTACAGGCCAATCTGATGGGGGTGGCTCTTCCACTGAGGTTTGCACTTTCCAGGAGACTCAAGTTTTTGTCATACTGTCAAAAAACAATCAGTGCACTTGGAGTGGTGGTTCACACCTTTAATCCCAGCACTATAGATAGCCTGTTCCCCTAACTTCTGAATTCACATCAGCTCTGACCATCAGAGGCAAAGAGCAGAATATGCTTGTCCCTTAGAAATGTATCCTTGGGTTGTAGTTCTAATGATTAATATGGGGAGGGGCAGCAATTTCTGCCTTCATTTCTTAATTTTTTTTGTTTTAACTGAAATATAATTTCTCATTTACCCCTTTCCTTTCTGTCTCTCTACTTCTCATGCACCACCACCCATTACCTCCCCAATTCCTGGCCTCTTTTTCTTTGTTATCGCTACGCCTATATAAGCATAGGCTTATAAATACAACCCACTCATCCACTTAGTGTTGCTGATATGTATATGACTTCAGGGCTGACCACTTGGATGATCAGTTAAGGGGCCCATCCCTAGGGAAAGTTCTTCTCCCTCTCTCAGCATTCCTTACTGGCCCAGAGTTCTTTGGGGGGGGGGCGCTTCTTGAGACTTTTCCCTTTCGTGTTAGCATGTCTGCTGGTGCTGTCATTGTACAGGTCTTGTTTAGGCAGCCATATTGTTTGAAGGTGTGCCTTCAACAGGGCACAGGGGTGCCCTGACTCATCACACAATCAGTGGTGCCATTTCCCTGTTGTTTCTACCAGGCACACTCTCACAACAGATGTCCCATTCCTCTGGCTCATAGAATCTTTCTGCCCTCTCTTTCACGATGTTCCTTGAGCCCTCCGTCCAGGATCTGTATTGTAGATATATTCCCTGGGGCTGGGTTTTTGACCATTTGTGATTTTCTGTGAGGGTCTCCGTCTGCAGCAAACCTGTAGCTTAGCTACCAGGCAGCTGTGCAGGCAAAGCTATCTTTAGGGCGGCCTACCATCATTGTGTGTTTCTACAAGAGGAGGCAGGGGATTCCTGCCTCTTTGATGAGGAGCTGGAGCCATGCTTATCTGTGGGTATAAGGATAAATATTAGAACACATTTAGGAATCATGGTGGTCGAGCAAACTTGCACTGAGATTCCAGGACCTTCCTATCTCCAAGGAGTTGGCTGTGTTCCAAGTGCCGGGCATCGCCTCCCTCCTGTTGAGTGGGCCTTGTGTCCAATCAGCCAGCTGTTGGTTGCCGCCAGGATAGAAGCGCCACTACTGCCCCCTTAGGAAGAGCTTGCCGTGTTGGTCATTGCTGCAGCTCATGGCGTCACAGCTGGACGGACTACTGGTTGTTTCCCCCTTTGTCAACTTCGCGTAGTACCATCTGGTGCTGTGAAAGCGAATGCTCCTGGCGGGGGTGGGGGGAGGAGGCTTGAGGTCAGATGCAGCTCAAAGCTCCCCGGTCCCGCGTATCTCTTAAGCTCTGCTCCATGATCCAGCAGAAGGTCTTTCCATAATGAGATTTCATTAAATGGCTGGCATCCCGTGCCAGCAGCTACAGGGTGCCCTCACTGCAACATTGTCACAGTGAACAAATCACTGCACGGGCCCAAATAAGCAGTTTGTCTCTGCAAAGACGGTTTCAAACGTCTCCTTCCAAAATTCCATCCCCCGCTCATACAAGGCACAGATGATCAAGACTTAGACGTACTTGTAATAAGTGGGTCTTTTATTATTATTCTGATTATTAATTTGAAAAAAACACCTGAGCCCCTGGCCTTGTCTCCCCACAGAGCAAGCTGGAAGGGAAAAAACAGAGGCTGTTTCCCATCCCCAAAGTGGGCTTCTTTTCACTTCTAGACTTTCTGAATTGCCAGATGAACTGGAGGACAATGCAAAATCCTAGCAACTCCTCTGACAGTGAGAATAGCAAATCACTTTTCTTCGCCTGTCCTCTCTTCCCCTGCACCCTGCTGGGGATCCAGCAGAGGAAAAGACAATTTAACCGTCAAAGAGAGAATTCCTTAAGGACTTGGATGGGAAACCTGTAGCTTTAGCTACCAGGCAGCTGTGCAGGTGAGGCTGTCTTTAGAGCCACTTACCATCATTTTATGTTTCTACAGTAGGAGGCAGAGGCAGGAGATTCCTGTGGGGGATAAAATGAGCTGCAGTTAGAGCTAGCATTGCTAAGCCTGAGCTCTGCCTTGCTGTCTCAGTTTTGGTGCTGCTGTGGATCAAAGAGTTAATGGGATGGAGAGTGACTAGGTGGGGTTCCTGGAACAAAAGCCACAGAGTCCACATCAAGGGAGGGTAAAAGAGTGGGAGGGAGGGTCCCTCTGGGTTCTCTAATCCAAACAGCTCTGGGTTGACTTAAGCAAAAGGTTAATTTGCTGAGAGTGTCTGTGGGTGCCTACAGGATGGAGGAGCAGGAAGAGGAGCAGCTAGGGGCTGCACAGGCAACAGAGCACCCCTAAGGTTCCAGGTGGCAGGAACAGGTGGTCTGGCATGTGAGAGCTTCAAAGGGAAATCACAGCATCTCCAGCCACGGCCCCTCCCCGTGTCACTGCCATTCACTGTGCTTGAGCAGAGGATGAGCCTCCGGCAAAGGGCACAGCTGGAGGGGCAGCGAATGTGTGACACCTGTCGTGGTGGGCCAGGAAGGAGGGCAGGAGAACATGGTGCCTAGGCACTGAGGGAAGCCAAAGGAAACATCCCGCCTTGCACACTGAATGAAGGGCAGGATGAGGCACACAGAGAAAGCTGCTTGGTGACGGCTAAGACATTGAAGTGCACCAAGGCAAACATCAGAGCCTGGGAAGCATGATCCAGGCTGTAGAACTAGAGGCCGTGGGTTCCCCATTGTGCCCATGGCAATGTTAGAACAACCCACTCTGGGGCTAGGGTCTGCTAAGTGTTTCTATGCCAGGGGCTGGGAAACAGGGATGTGTAATTCACCACCGCTCTGTGACCATAGGTCACCAGTGACCTAGATCTAGCCCAACCCCAGGCTCACCCATGCCAAACAATGCATGGATTGGCCCAGCTGATTGAAAGGTGGGAACCTGGTTCCCAGTGGTGTGGCACCGGGGTACTGTGGCCAGATTGCTTTATATACACACACACACGCACACACCACACACACACAGGTGGCACCAGGGTACTGTGGCCAGATTGCTTTAC